TCAGAAATAAAAGCAGGCAAGTACAAACTAAACTGCTTAAACTAATCTGTGAAAACCTGCCTCCCTCCAAGAGCTGGCACTAATTTATTCACCTGATTTGCCCTCTGTTCCAAACAACCCCCAGTACTGGGGATCAAGTTACAGCATAAGGAAGCACTCAAACTATATACATCTTCTCAAAGATTTACTCTGCAATTTCCAAGTCTTCAGACTTATTTTTTTTTTTAGTTTGCCCGTACTCCTCTAGTCTCTGTCTCTTACTTTCATTTAAATGTATAGACATATGCATGTAAGGGCTATTGGCCTTCAAAGAGGGCTCCTGTCTAGCAGTGTATATGATATATGCCTAAACGTATAGACATATATAAGTTCCTCATGTACTCCCCCTTTTGTGCTGAATCCAAATTTTATTGCAAGATAAGAGATTGTAGATCTTTTCAAATTCCATTTGAGATAGAATTTTCTACCCAGTTTCACAATTGTTTGTTCATTTAGAGTTTCAAGGAGGAAAGTGGAATAATCATCTTTTTATTCCATCATTTATTAAAATCCCTTATCCAGGATCTCACAGAGATAAGATAGAAATACTCTTTAAGGAAGATTATTGTAGTCCTTTTTAGGGTATAGATTAAAGTGAGATGGGGTGGCATAACAAAAACTCCTAGATAATCTAGGTCAACACAGTCCAGTAGAACTTTCTGCAAAAGCAGAAATAGTTTTGGTCTGCACTGACCAATATAGTAGTCACTACCCACATGTGGATACTAAGCACTTGAAATGTATTTTGTAAAACTAAGAAATTAAATTTTTAATTGTGTTTTATTTTAATTATTCAAATTTGAATTTATAGAGCCCTACACAGCTAATGGTCACCAAATTGGACAATGCAAATCTAGGTTATATAAAAGCCTGAATGCTAGACTGTGGCCAAATAGACATAAAAGAGGATATCCAGGTGGTGTTATGGAAAAAAAGAAGCAACAGTGTTTACGTGGGGAAGAGAGAAAGAAGATTCAAACAATTCATCAGGAGTACACAGAGAGAATGGGAAAAGTGGTAGCATCAAATTAATAAAGGGTACATTATCAAGGCCTATTTTTAAAAATAGATATTTACTAGATTGAGTTCCCTATGGTAAGCAAAGCTCCAAATAAAAATGACTATAAACAATTAGAGTCCTCACAATGAACTGGGGCAGGGGGAGTTTACAGGTACAAAAAAAGAATCTTTTTCCTTAACATTTCTCTCTTGAGAGACTCTCTTCTGCCTCCATACACCCTGTTTCAGAGCTTGTCTTGTCCTTCTCCAGGCAGAGTCCCTGTATATATGGTATAATAATGATGGTTCAGAAAAATTGCTATTTCACATACTGAGTGGTTACTTAGTGATTAGTAACTAAAATACTCAGTGATGCAAAGAGGATCAAGGAGGAACTGGTCTTGTTTTGGAAAGGAAAAAGATGATATAAAATGTAACTTTGCATACATGAAGTGCTCAGCAAAGCTTAATTAATGAGAAAACCTCAAAGAAAGTGATGAAATAAGGAACACAGATACTAGTGTTCTATTTATATGATTTTGAAAGTTCAAGCTTGGTATTTTCCTCTTCCATTAATGCACAAGTATAGCCCCATGTGGCAGCCATGAGATATTCATCTTTCCACTGAGTGATTTTTCTTTAAGGCATCCCATTTATGAGGGGCAGTAACCACACAGAATCCCACCCTCTAACTTTATTGATGTTCTTCATTCTATTTGTGATGGAAGTCCATCCCTATCATCAGAGTGCAGTCACTGATAATCAGGTCTGTACTGTCCCTGGAAAGATTGTTTTGCTGCAGAATGGAGGAGGTTATCTTTATAAAAAATTATTCAAAACAAACATCCATGAATCTAGGACTAGCTCGCATTGAAAGAGGACAGGCAAGGCCCTTTAATGGGTGCCCTACTGTGTAATCTTCCTTTCATCTTAATTCAAAATCCCTTGGAGATTCAAGCTGCCTTATGAAAAATATAAATTCTTCTAATTACTTATGTGTAGGGTACAGGATTTGTCCTAGTCAAAAGAGATACGTAATAATGTATCCTGGCATTTATTTTCATCTGCCGTGACTTGAAGATAGATGCTGAGCTTTTTTTTTTTTAATCCTGTTTTCTTCTATTTTTGTTTTATTTTGTTGCTTTTTTTCTCTTCTCTCTTCGATTTTTCTCTTCCTCTATACTTGAAAAAAAGTAAAATAGAAATGCTGTCTTGCCAAAAGAAAAAAATATCTTGAAAGATTATGGATTCTAAAGATTTTTACAGAGGGTTTGATGTTTTGTAAAATAAAGCTAGCTGCCATGTGTAAATATAGCTGTTTTTATTTGAAGGGGAGAAAATACAGGAGCATTTCAGCTTTGTTTTTTTAATTTACCCAAGCCTTTTATATATATATATCTCCAGGTCTATGTAGATTGTTTTATACTTGGAGCCCACAGCCTTCTCATATTCTCTGTTCAGGACTCCAGGCTATTTCTATCTTTCTTTGTAAATGTATTTCTCTGGCTGCCTAAGCCAGCTTATTCTTACTTTTTTATGCTGTACATAATGCCCTTTGCCCAGTGATGTTGGCCTGCATGCTTTCCTCATTAGTGCTAAAGCCCTCCTACAAGTATCAAAATCACCATTGTCCAATAAGATGCCTTCATGACCTTTCCATTTTAACACATAACTGGGAATTTAAGAGAGCTGATCTAACACTTTCCAGATTAAATGTCAAATTCTCAAAATTCAGATGGATTTGGAATCCACCTAAGCATATTTTCTGCTTCCATTCCCAGTAGTCTACACAGTGGCACTGATCAGCAGTTGCATTTTGTAATATTACTTAAGGCTTTAGTGTTGTGAAGTTCTGCCAGTAATGGTGTTTAATTCACTTATATGTGCCAATTCATCTCTGTCAGGAACCTATTAATTTCTTTGCTATTTTACTCTGTCCCTCATCCCTACATAATGAGACACAATGATTCCCATTTGTGTAACCAAAAAACTTAGAGTCTCCTATAAATTACCTCTGATCCTACTGCTTTTAGTGGCCAGAAGTCCCTGTATTTCTTTTTCATATTTAAATCAATTTTTGCAAACTTTTTTCTTTAGAAGAATACACTGGAGCTGTAAATAGTGAAACCACAGAAAAAGAACAGGATTCTGATCGACTCTTTAACATGCATTTCTGTCCCAAGAAAGACTCCCATAATATCATTACCAAAAATGCATTGTTCCCACAATATGTCCCATTTATAGGGAGGGAGCTTTAATAAAAGTCAGCCACTGACTCTGCTGTTAGCCCAGTCATCAGTGGGCGCAGTGTCAAAATACCTGTAGCATTGCTATCAAAGTAAAAACTCTATAACAAATAAAAGTCTGTTAGACCAAATTAATTATCTTATGCTCTTTGCATTTCTGCAGGATATGATCCTGAGTAAAGAAGAAAGTGGCAGCTAAGGAGGAGTTAACATAGTTCAAGAGAGAATTTCATTGTTTTACCATATGAAACTCACATGTACCTCTTCCACCCATTCTATATTTTTCAGGATTGGAGCAAAACATCAAGAGCTAAGGGAAAAACAGGCAAGAGGTCTTGTTGATTATGCGACTGGCGCAATTGGATCAGTGCATGATATGGATGATGATGAAATGGACCCCAATTATGCCAGAGTCAATCACTTTCGAGAACCATGTACATCAGCAAATGTCTTTAGATCTCCATCTCCTCCTAGAGTTGGACCACTTGGTTACCCTCGAGATGGCCGTCCCTTGTCTCCAGAGAGAGATCACTTAGAAGGTCTTTATGCCAAGGTCAACAAGCCATATCATCCACCGGCTCCAGCTGACAGGTAATACAACTTAGTGACGGATGAATATAGTTTTAATTCAGTGAGTTTCAAATCATCTCCACTACTGAAGCAGATAAAAATATATCCTTCAATCTATTAAAACTGAAATGACATGGTACCCTAGACAAGTGCTATGCTTTGACCTACCCATAAAGTATCAGCTATCGAAAATAAAACAATATCCAGTTAAAAGGTGGCATGAATGAATAATGGTAGTGGAGTTCATGGTGCAATAGGGAGCAATTGTTGAAGGAATAGTGTGACAGAGAACCAATGATGAAAACTTTGAAGGAATATTGTCCTTTCTCCTAAGAGCCCTATTATAAAAGACTTATTTGAGCAGATGGCATGACATGTGGAGGTGAGGAGTCAGAGAAGAGAAAATGACAACTTCCAAGTAGAAGTAATTGAAGGGAGTTATAGATAGCTGCAGAGGTGCAGGGGATTTTGAAAAGTAAGATTGGGATTTTGAACTCAAGGAAAATGTGACCCTGTATAGATATTCATGGAAGATCAGAGGTAGAAAAGGAGATAATCTTGGCAATAGGGGTTTGATGAAGTAGAGAAAGATAAGAGGTGACAAGGCCAGGGATCCTTAAGTTTAGCAGCTTAGGAAAGAGATAATAGGACCATCTGTCAGTACAATTGAAGTAGGTAGGGAACACAATGATTCTAGCCCCACCTCCTGTCAACAGTAAAATGCCTCATCTCTTGAAAGGCTGATCTAAGGAGTTTTTGTCAATATACAATGTTAGGTGACCCTTGGAATTACACATGCAAGGCACGGGTTGACTGATCTTCATCTAATTTGACTGTATCTTGAAGTCTGGAGGGAGAAGGTGGGCAAGAAGGATGGCAGGTGCAAAGAGCTCTCATTTTAGATGTAAAAATGACTTGTTTTCCAGATTTCTTAGGGTTCTGACAATCACCCAGTCCCTATTAGTAACCAGCTTTTGTGTGATAGCATGATATATTGCATATGTTTACCGTTTACATTTCCCCAGCTGGGTAATATTATGCACTTTCAATTAGGTTGGGGAGAGGAAGGGAAATCATGGCATTTTTATGCAGACTGTAAAGTGTAGCTTCACAAGACTGATTACCTTTCAGAGCCTTTCCAATAACCAAGTAGGAAGGAAGGAGCAATTTTTAATCCTTACTGTCAAGCTTCCAGGTTGATAATATTAAAGAAAGATGGTCAAGTTTTTCTTTGGAACAAAATGAAAATATAAATTCCTGTGACTATGTGATATAGCCGTAATAATTAAACAGCTAATTCAAACAATTGCTTAAGAGTTGGACTTTTCTTCCCAGCCTTCACATAAGGTTAGATTTCATCATGTAAATATTAATACCAGGCATGAGTCTTTTCAGGCAAATCAGATAGCAATTCTCCTTGCACAGTTCCACTACTAGAAACCTAGTACAAAGAAACTTTTCCTAAAAACGTCCCAAAAAAGTATTTAATACTCATACCATGGAAATAAATATAATGCACTCTATTTTTTAAAGTTTATGAGATAAATACATATTAGAAATTCTGGATTAAACCCTAAGGAACAGGTTTCTGTACTATGATCTCCTTATATCCAATATGCTAATATGTATTCAGAGTCTCTAGAACTATAAAGCCACCTGCACTTTTCTCCCCAATTTTTATCACTTATGATTTATTTTTTCCCCCAGATCTTATGGGTATTTTGGGGAATACTGTTTAGGAAACTCGATTTTTAGATAATTTTCAGCCTTGTAGATTTGAACAGGAATGAAATATTTCTTGGGATCTTAATTGCAACTGCTCTACAATGATATCTAGAAAACCTGTTATTTACTGCTGAGCACAGGTGTATGTATGAATGATAGAGTTTTACTTTTGGCTGTGACCCTTTGTATTAATAAATGATCTAAAGCTGTTACTTTCAGTCAAGTTTTAGATTATAGTCATATTTTTGGATGGCAGATAAAAGTGTGACTCTTTAGGCTCAAAGTTATTGTTATTGTGCTCTCATTTTTATTATATTCTTATATAAAGATTGCTATGCTTTTTGTTCTTTAAATCTTAAGGCAATCAGTTTTTGTCTTGACACATAGTAAGCATTCAAAATGTTAGTTATTTATCAACATTATCATTATCACTACTAATACTACTATCTTTTTCTAATAAAATTCTGAACTTTCTTCACATGTGGACCTATGTGAGTCCAAGTAGAATTGTGTGGCAGTGTCCCTAACTCTGTCCACAAGCAAGAACTATGAGTTCTAAACTGTTTTACAGGAATTGCTCATTCACCTATTCATCTGCTCAGTCTACCCTCGTTCAGTAAGTATTTGTTTGGCACCTACTGTGTTCTAGATACTATAGAATGTTCTACAGAAGATGCAACTGGTGACTAAACACAGTCCCACTCCAGAGATCATATTCTAGTCAGTAGGGACCAATACATATGGAAATGCATAATTACAATATAATGTAAATAGAATAAAATGAAGATTTTCCTTCTCTAATCCTGCCTGGGCTGGTCAAGAAAGGCCTCCAGAAGGAGATGACATTTAGACTAGCTCTGGAAGGATTCAGAAGAATTGGCCAGATGCAGAAGTAAAATTTCTTTACAAGTACTTGAGTTTGGAAAGGGCAAAGTGGGCTGAATGAACATAGCCTGTTAGGGAAGCTCAAAAACACCCAAAAACAGTGGGAGTTGGAAGGAGAGTTATAGGGAGTGTGCTGGAAAGCAGGTGGGAGGCAGTTTGTAAATGAATAAGTTGCATCTTACGTTTTTCCTTGGTGAGTGACTGTTTTAAGCAGAGTTCTGGAGTTGTGCTGGATTAGCAGTATCTGCCCCATGCTCCAAAAGGATGAGGGGTTGCATGTGTGCAGCAGGA